AATATTACACTAATAACTAGAGCATACAAAACATTTGCTAGACCAATACTCGAATACAGCTTATCAGTCTGGAACCCACATTACGTATCTGATATTAACACAGTTGAGAAAATCCAGAAATATTTCACAAGAAGAGTTCTCCACTCCTCTACTCGTTGCAAAATACTTATGCCACCAGACTTGAAATTCTAGACCTAGAAAACCTAGAACTACATCGCCTTCGGTCTGATCTAAGTATAGTATATAAAATGTTATAGTATATAAAATCATATATTGCAATGTCCTACCTGTCAATGAATACTTCAGCTTCAACCATAACAATACTAGAGCAAACAATAGATACAAACTCAAGGTTAATTGCACCAAATACTCTACCTGACTCTGTGGTTTCTTCCCCAAACCCCAAAAACTTTAACCTTAGACTGTCTACTATTGACCTCACCCCTTTCCTAAGAGGTCTGTAGGGGGCGTGCATAAGCGCACCAATGTGCCTACCGTCCCTGTCCTATTGTTTCTTTTATTTTTCTTATATGTACCCATTTCATGTATTCATAACTATGTATATACTTATACCTTTATCTTGTAAGTGATTGACAAATCAAAATAAATAAAAAACAAGAGCCCCTGATTATGACATCGAACATGCAAACAAGCTAAATACACTACTAACCCTGTCCTATTGTTTCTTTTATTTTTTTTATTTTTCTTATATGTATCCATGTATTCATAACTATGTTTTTACTTATACCTATTATCTTGTAAGCAATTGACAAAAATAAATATGAATGAATGAATGAATAAATAAATAAATAAATAAATAAATAAATAAATAAATAATAAGCAAGCAAGCAAGCTAGTTTCTCTTTCACTTTAGAGCTGAGCCCAGAACAGAGATAAACCATGCCCAGATTCTCTCTTTAAGTTTCAGCCCTCAACTCAGCTCTCAATGGCTAACCTTGTTACTAAGCTTTATTCCAGTTCATGAATATACTGTGACATGATGGGACTCCCATTTTTAGTCCAGGCCAGCAGGAGGGTTGGGGGCATCCCACCGTTAGGCATGCTCTAGGGGAAGTGCAATGGGGATCTGGGACTCTCGACTCCTCTTTAACTGATGTGTTTGGGCTGTCAGGTTCTAGGGCTCAGGAACCTCAGGATTCCAGGTCTCAAGGGACCAGAGGGAATGGGGGAGCTATCCCCAGGACATAGGATGCAGGACTCCTACTGGATGGATCAACCACCAGGGTTACTGGTGGTTTATTGGCCACAGAAAATGGTGTTGGCCCTTGCCCTTTACAGGCATCCTTTGACGGGAACCTGGACAGGTTTTGGGAAGGGATGGAACGCCACAAGCTCGGCGCACTTCAAAGCCGTGTCTTTTAAATGTTGTGGGATTTTGGTCAGCTTCCCTCTTTCTTGGCTGGGAACTTTGTGCAGCACTCAGCAGCTCAATGATCCTCCTTCTGCATGTGAAGCAGGTCATCAAATATGGCAATGCTTCTTGGGGCTTGGCAAGATTCCTCTTTTTCTCGGGCGTGGAACATTTCTAGATTTTGCTGGAATGGTATTGGTTTCTTGCTTGATCAATTTCATCTTCTGCAAGGATGAACCAGTTGTGGAGGCAATTTGGGGCACATCTGGCAATGCAGGAATGATACAAGTCATTGTTCAGGCTATCCTTAAAGCAGCTTACTAGGATGTATTCTGGTCAGTCTAAGTGGCAGAGTTCTTCAGTGTGCTTGGCTACTGGACAGCAGCCCTGCCTTATGGTTTTGATCCTGGCCTTGTGATCAGCCAGGGGATCCTTGAATGTCCATCTCAGCACCGTCATGAAATGGAGAAGTTTGCGGAACTCCAGGGCATTACCAGTATGGAGTGTTACCATCCACCAGTGGCAGATTCTTCCAGAGCTAGGGAGAGACTCTGGCTTCTTCAGTGGAAAGCCACGTCTGTATTCCTGCATGTAAATAAGGATGTAAGTGAGGAACAATCCTATTTACTTGGATCTCCGTTAATGCCTAGGGGGTGCTTTTCACTCTGGTTGTGGGGCTCTTCTCCCCCTGGTTCTCTGGACATTTGCTCCACCAAGATCTCTCTGAGGGAGATTAGGTGTGGTGGCTGCCCTGTCTGTGGTTCCAGCAGCTCCACTGGAGGTCCCAGCCTCCCCCCACGTGTCTGCGGTTTCTCCTTGCTCTTCCTCACCTCTGTCCATGCAGGCCATGGCCTCTCAGGTTTTCAGATTCTGGAAAGCTTTCATCATGAAGCTTTCACTTGATTCATGAGCTGGTCAGAATGGTCTGGTTTTTCTTTCAGGTCATCATCATCATACAGGGCTTCCATCTCCAGTCTCCAACCATGCTACCAGCTACCTTGGGTGAGGGTGACCCCCTTTGGCCCTTCCTCCCCAGTCCTCCTTCTTTCCCATGCCAATGGACCATCTTGGTTTCACAGGTTCTTCCAAGGTAGCCGCTTCCTCCGTCCATTTGCTGGAAGCTGCATCAGATTGAGCCTTGGTGGAGGTCTCTCCCCAGCATTCAGCTTCTTTGTGCTCACTGCCCTGATGGGACATCTTGTGAATGGTCCCCACTGTAGGGCCAGTGCCCCTCCGGGTTGACCACTTTTCAGATCTTGCCTCATGTAAAGTCTTACCTCAGCAGTCCCTCAAGAAAGGAAAATTCTTGAAACAAGTAGCATTTCAAAAGGAACTTTTATTGGGAGACAGTGATAGCAAAGAGAGTAGGCAGAAATGGAAGTTCCTGCACTAAAACATTAGGTTAAAAGTTACTCATTCAAACTTCTCCCTACTGCTCAGTCCAGCGCAAGCCAATCACCAGGTGTTGAGTTGCTGTGACAACTTTAGGCTGGGAAGGTGATAAGGTGTTCTCAAGCACCATTCTCTCATCTTCTTTGGAGCTGAGACAAAACAAATGGCCCAAGCCCTCCTCCCTAGCCCAGGAAGATACATCAAAGTAAAGAAAGAACAAAGCAGGTGACAGGTTATAAAAATACCAAAGGCTTCCTCCTTCTGCCAGAATGGCAGAGTCCTAATAGGGATCTATGGGAACCTGACAGTAACTTTGGTGTCAGTTTTAAGACAAGGAGGGCAATCTTTTGGTAACCAGGAGCTATAATTTTTTCCTTGAGGGTTCATGGACCATAATAGGCAAAGTTAACTTAATTGTAACTTGCACTGATCAGAACAAGTTTCTCTTAAGTTTTATTTTATTGACTAATTCACAATATTTCAGCATATTATAGTCCTGGATGGGGTATAACAAAGTCAAAACAAGTCAATAAAAATAATATATGAATAGTAAAAGTCATTAACAAACAACACATAGTTTTATTTGTGAAATGTTTTTGTTTTATAAAAATATACATCAAGTTTATAGTAGGATTTGAGAAACTTAATTTTCATGTTCCTTGTCTGAAAATGGGGGATTTTGGCACTTATGATCAAGGGATTCTGGATATTGTGACATATAGTGCAAGGTCAATGTTATATTGGGAGCAGAAACAACATGCAGTGCAGCATTGTTTACAAAATTATTTTAGGAACTTTCAGTCTGACTCAGACAATTTTGATAATTCTGTTCAATCAATAAAACAATGAGATTCATCTTGTTCTGGACATAATTCATGCATTGTGGATTGCATTCAGCTTTGTGTCAATCTAATCAACTTGCATCTTATAACAGCTGTTTGAAGGAATCTTCTGAGAAGCTCCATATTAATATCATCTGGGATCTTTACAATGCATAAATTAGCCTCCATTGCCATCCAGGAAAGGCCAAATGTAAGCACTGCCTTGAATTTCAGCTGTTAAGCACTTGAGCATGGAAATGTTACATATAAACTCTCTGGATTCCTTGTAAGATTGTGTTCAACTCTAGGCTTGTTCTAAAATAAAATAAAGCACTTATTTCTTCTTGCTATTCATATACTAGATGGCATCTGGACTTCCTCTTTCCCAAATTTGAAAACCTTTTTTTGCCTAATAAAGCTAATAATGTCCATTCTTGGTTGGTGAAACAGTCCAAATAGATTTGTTGCCATGCAAAATACAGCCTATTCATCAAAGTGGGTTTTAAAGGAATATTAAAACCTGTGTAGGATGATTCATCTCTTCCTTGGTTTTATGTGTTATAGGTGTGATTGATGGTATTAGTGATTGATGAAACATTGAATTACAGTTTGAAAACTGAACAGAGTTTTTGAGTTCTGGTTGCAATTAGAATAATTGCAGACATAGCATTATTTATAGCAAACCATCCTATCCAGATTCCTTCTACATAGATAAGGATCACAACTCCAAAATTCACAAGCATGTGAATTGGGGGGGGGGGCTCCTTCCCATGGTAGCTCTTGCTTTGAGAGTTCTTTCCCTGCAATCTTACCGTTTGAGATTTCCACAGTGATGTTGGGTGGAGTCACACAGTGGTGGGATTCATTTTTTTTTACTACCAGTTCTGTGGGTGTAGCTTGGTGGTCATGGCAGGGGAAGGATACTGTAAAATCTCCAGTCAGAAGTGGTATTTGCTGGTTCTCCAAACTACTCAAAATTTCCGCTACCGGTTCTCCAGAACTGGTCAGAACCTGCTGAATACCATCTCTGTAGCCATAGTGAACAGCAATCATATTATGGAGATACAATCATCACTCCATTTCATGCAAATAGATGTTTCACACTTCCAAATAAAATTGTTTTAGGACTGGCTATAATCATCAAATAAAAATTGATCCCCCTTCCCTAGCATTTTTATAGGTACAATTTTCACTTTGCTTTTACTGCAATCAATTCATGTATTTAAACAAGGAGTATCTTTCTGGCAGTAGAAATTGGCGGCAAAAATAGTTTTTGTTTCGTTATATTTTCTTATAGGTCACGAAAAAGTATGAGTTTTAACAGCAACTATAGCAGATGAATAATAAGTTAAATATCAAGATGTCCAAAAAATGGTGTACAAAGTTACAGGGTGTGCTTTGTGATCTGTCTTTAGGTTGCTCAGGACAAAGGGAACTGCTCTTTTCAGAATAACTCAACACCATGTGTCATTCCTCAGGAAAAGGAGAACATTTTTCACACAATATTTGCCTTTTTTACCAAGTCTGGGAGGAAAGTGCTGGTAAGAAATTCTTATCACTTTGAACAGTTTGAAAGCCAACAGCTTCTTTCTAAAACACAATATATGTATATATTTTCCACTGCTTCTAAATAAGCTGTGCTCCTTGAGTACATGGAACAACTTTAAACTAGCAAATGATAATTTAGATTAGTATCTTTTCCACCCCAGTTGTGTGGGGGAAATATTCAAAATATTCCATTTATTGGAAATGGAAAAACACTAGCCACATATCTATCAAGATAATAATCAGTTATATAAAAAAACTTAAAATGTATGAATATATAAGTAATAAGGAGAAGAGTACAGCAGAGGATGAGATGGTTAGATAGTATCATTGACACAATGAACATGAATTTTGGCAAATTCCAGGGGATAGAAGGGCCTAGTGTGCTATTGTCCATGAGGTTGCGAAGACGTGATTTAGTGACTGAACAAAAATTTAAGCAATAATGCTTTCATACTTTTTCAGTTGAAGTCTTAATTTTAAATTGTAGGAAGCAGTTTCAGCCCTCTAAGGTAGACCAAATCAGGAAACCAATTCTATAACAAGACTAGAACTATAATCTTCTTCTATATATAAAAAAATGGCTATGTGTGTGTATGTTCCAGCATAACTCTGGAACACCTCAAGCAATTTCAACTAAACATGGTAGACAGATGACTTAACCTCTGGAAAAAAAAATACTCTGGGGGTAAGACATCCCTAACACGCCTCCAGGGGAAGGTGCACGTTAAAATGGCTGTACAGCACAGTGGTGTTGCCATGGTAATGGCTTCACAATACTCCACAAGGGGGCTCCCTCTGATAAGGGGGATTTGTTCTTACAAAAAACAAGGGGGATCCCTCTGGTAAGGAGCCCTCAGCTTCAAGCAAAGAGGGCAAGTTGTCAGGGGAGGTGCCTGGTAATGCAGATAATCACCTCAAAGGCTGTTCCCTGTAGAATTTTTTCAAGGCCAGAGCAATTAGGTCACTAATTCTCACCACAATGGTTGAGGTAACAGGGCCAGGCCCAAGATGCCTCCAAGGAAATGTCAGGTGACAGGCCAAGTGCAATCAATGGCTACAAAAATGAAACACCAGCATAGACAAGAAACTCCTGAGGAAAGGAATTGAAGACTTGCGGTGCTGCTTGAGAGAGCTAGAACTTCAGAGACAGTACAACAGCATGAGGCCTGACTAAAGGATAAGAGAGATAGAGCTACTACATGTAGAGCTTCAGAGACAGTACAACAACGTGAGTCCCTACTACAGGATAAGAGAAATAGAGCTGCTACATCTAGACATTCAGAAACAGTACAACACCATGAGGCATGACTACACTATAGGAGAGATAGAGCTGTTATATCTAGAGCTTCCTTTATAATTTGTATATTCTACTTATACTTTTAAAACCCTGCAAATAAAGTTACTTTGATTTGACACTATAGATATAATTCATTCCTTTTCCTGTCTAATACAGGATTGGGATAAATAAATACCCAGGCAATGCCAGGTTATCAGCTAATTTATTATAAAGTAACAGAATCCTGCAAATTGATTTTGTGCTTTTGGGACCCTCCCTCTTATACTAATTGAATCAAGGAGGAGTCAGCCTGAAAAAAACAATTATTATCTCTGTTCCCAAGGCTTTTAAGGAATGCTTCTGTCATTTTTATTTAGGTAACAGTTTCTGTATGTTTGCTTCAAGGCCACCTTCCTAGCTCTCTGCAATCATTAATTAGAAAAGTATACCTATTAGGTGAGACTTGACACTTGCTTAAAATATGAGAATTTTTTTTGGTGGATGTCAAATTACATGATGAATGTTGAAACACCCAATAATGAATCAAGTTAACATGATGGGAAAATTTGTCTGGGATGACAGAGTGGGTAAGAATAAAAAAAAAATGGTTCCCATTAAAATTGAAGTTCTGCAGTTTAAATCTGGGCATTACTACTTTTCTGAACTTATTGGAGAAAGAAAAAAAGAGTTATTGATTGGGAGTAGGATGTAGAAGGGATTGATTCCAGGCCCAGTCTTTTGTTTCCCCCAAAAATGTTATCTGTGGAAAAACTGTTGCACATGTCTTATGCAAACTTATGCAAAGGCTCTCCTAGCCATGACTGCTGCTTGCTTTTTGAGAAGGAGTCTTGAGTCTAGAAGAATCCGCAAGTTGCACGTAGAGTCTGTCTGGGGCAGTCCTCGATCCCAAAGCTTTTTTAATTAGATACATCATTTATTTAATTTTTTTTTCTGTTAATGAATTGTAGTGCCAAACTATTTCTCTTTTCCTACTGTAACGGCTGGTTGTAGAATGCAGTAACAATATTTGAATTCAGGATATGCAGGAAAATCTGCATCATATTAAGGAATAATGAGAAGGAACATGTAGTATGACAATTCATTCAGTGACATTCTCTACGAAGTACATACAATAATGTGTGCATTAGGAGAAAAGCGCACAAAACAATGCAAATTTGTAACCAGTTTATAAACAAAGTTAGAAATGATGGTGAAACATGATAGAATAAACCAAAAGTAGGAAAAATGAGAATGTAATCAATCTTGAAAGATTTGCTGAAGACAGATAGCTGAACAAGGTTTATTGATTATCTATCCATTCTCCCCCCCCCACCTTTGTTCATTTGCTTTTATTTACTTGTTATCCTTTAGGACTGTGAAAGACCAGGCTGCTTAATTATAAGGTGTAATTTAAGTTCGCTAGCAAAAGCTGAATCGCGTAGCATAGATGTGCAAATGCTTTTGAATACAGAGATATTAAAGAAGGTGAGCATCATTTCTTACACTATAATGTTGCATTTTCTGTACATAATTCACCTTGGAGTTGGATTTAAACTTGGATTACTGCTTTATCCTATCAGAAGGAATTGTTGTTGTTGTTTGAGCAATCTCAGAGGGAGGAAAAGAAAGGGGAAAAAATTATGCAAGCTATTATGTTTTCCATCTTTCAAGATGCTACAAAAGAGCAAATCAAATAATCCCCAAAGTTAGATTTTGGATTTCAGTATAACCCCATCAATATAAATGATAGACTGAAATGTAAGTAATATATAATATATAAAATGTAAGTGATAAGCTCAAAACTGATTCATACACTTTTAAATGCTGATAGAATTGAGTACAGATTTTTCTGATATTTTACTACTGTCAACACTGGGTAAAATAAGGTCTTAGCCTACTATGCTAAGCTTGATTTGCCTTGCTGAATGCTCAGTGTGTGTTGCACTGGAATGATATGATGTAATTAATAAAAGTGTTAGGAATGTATTGTTGCCTAACACCAGCTATTTTCATTAAATTAGTTGAGCTGCTTAATTATATGAGCTGTGCCAATGTTTAGTTTGAAGTCACAGAGTAAAATAATTCTCTTGAACTTTGTTGCCCTGATATACATAAGAGGAGGAAATTATATTTCCATTTCTAAATTGTCATTTTTCCCCTAAAAAATGATGTATGACTCTAACATCACTCCACCAGAAGATGTGTAATTTTAAAGTACAGTAAGAATTACTTTAAAAGGTAATTGCTGGGCCATTTGTGTTAAAGCTCTTTTCAAAAACAATTACAGTGGAAAAATATCTAGACTTGTTATTCTATACAATGTTAGGATTTATTTTAATCATAAAATATTTAATGTAATATATAAGCACATTTTAGTAATTATATATAAATATCTGCTTCTAGTTATGATGCAGCAATAATTCAGCTGAAGATGTTCTTTGCTGGTGATATTTGGCAGTATCTTACTTTTTTTAAATGTGAGAATAGTGCTTTTCAACTTTCACATCTAACTTTGATGTATTTTTAAATGCCCATGATTAAGAGCCTTTGAGAACTGTGTGTTTGAAAATGTTCCTTAATTCTCCTTATTTTTCAATCTGTAGGATACCTCATCAGTGATTCAGTTTGTAACACGAGCAAAAGTGAGAGTGGACCCAAGCAACCGGGCAATTGAAGTACCTAATGTGAATTCTGAACATGCAACAGTAAGTGGAAGAATCTAAAGAAGAAGAATCGTTTGTTTTAATTTAATGCATTAATGAAGTGTATTAAATGATCCAGCATTTAGCAAGGAATTTGTGGTCAGGCCAAAGAAATAGAAGGAGCATGCCTTTCATTAAATGTATTAGCATTGATATTGCTGCCACAAAATCCTCTTGTGTTTTTTCTTGCTGTGATAAGTCTAGAAGCGAATGATTGTCATTGGGATGTTTGCGCACTAGATCAGTTTTTTTAAGACAGAACAATGCATATTTATTATGCTCATATGTGCATTAACAAGGTAAATTACACCACTCACTCTGGGCTTTTTTATTCATTAGGTCTTTAGAAAATCTACTTTGCATCCAGATAGCAGAGATGATAATGTGAAATACATAAGCTATGTATTCATCAGTTTGGACAAGGCTTTTGCTATGTTGGAAGAGAAGCCACCCATGAGGACAATCCTGAGATAAGGAGGAGACCTCAGAGGTTGCATATTCCATGTGGATCACTTGAACCCACTTAGCCCCGTCCAAAATGTTGTCATTGCAGGTTATGAGAAGCACCTTAGTATGAGAAGGTGTCCCTCTGATGTAGAAAGACCCAACATTATTTTTTTCTGTTTAAACATTTTATTAAATTATAGACTAAAATACAAAAGCAAATAAGAAGACACAGTGGGAGGGAGAAGGGAAAGAGAAGTGAGAGAGAATGGGGGAAAAACAGAAAAGTGTTGACTTCCAACTCTCTCTGTTGCACTAAAGTAAAACATTAACATCAAACCACAGCTTTTTATTTTTTCCATAATAATATAAACTGGCCACTTCTATAAAAAACAAATAAATCTAATTGGTAAAACACAAAATCAAAGTTTCATTTTTCCCCCACCTGAAGCACAAAGTCCAGAAGCAGTCTCCACATGGCAACAAAAGTACTTACATGGCAACAGAAGTACTCAGAAATGGTGTAGGGTCTCCCGCTTGGGTGGGGGGTTGGACTAGATGACCTACAAGGTCCCTTCCAACTCTGATTATCTGTATCTGTATATTCTTTTCTTTAATCAAAACAGTCAATTTACCCATTTCTGCCAACTCCATCAGTTTTTGTAGTCTTTCATCCATGGTGGGAATTGAAATGTCCTTCCATTTTTGTGCATACAAAAATGCTGCTGTCTTGCTGCTGTCAACATATATAAGATCAAAGTTCCATTTTCTTTTTCTCCAACTCTTTTTCCATTAAGCCCAAAATAAAAGCTTCTGGTTTCATTTTTATCTTTGCTTTAAGAATTTTCTGTATTAAAATATGAATCTTGGGCTTTCTGCCAAAAAGACAACTAAGAGACAATGTGAGGACTGTTTTGAATATTATTGAATATTTACAGTATCATAATGAGAAATGGGCAGCCTTACTATTTCTAGATACAGAGAAAGCCTTTAAAAATTTTAATTGGGCTTTTATGTTTAAAGTGCTAGAAGAAATGGACTTTGGAAATAACTTTATTCAAGGGATCAAAGCAGTTTATATATCACAGAAAGCCAAAATTATCATTAATGGTGATTTAACTAATTTGTGTGAAATTCAAAAGGGTACAAGACAAGGATTCCCCTTGTCCCCTCTGCTGTTCATCTTGATATTGGAAGTTTTGAATGGAGATATTAGGCAAGATGAAAATATAAGGAGTATAAGTATCAAGAAAGAAGTTTATAAATTGAGGGCATTTCCTGATAATCTGGTTATATTCTTGCAAGACCCAAAAGATAATATAGAATATTTGATGAGGAAATTAAATGAGATTGGGGCTACAGCAGGTTTTAAAATAAAGAGAAAACAACAATGCCATCTCAGGACAGTGATATATTGACTAAAAAGTTGGGTTTTAGGGTCGAGAAAAAGGTGAAATACTTAGGGGTTTTATTGATAAATATAAATATAAAATTGCTTCAAACTAACTATGTCCCTCTCTGGAGGGATATTAAAAAGGTTTTACAAAGATGGGACAAACTGCATTTATCACTATTGGGTAGAATTTCTAAAATTAAGATGGACATCTAACCAAAGATGCTTTTTTTATTCCACACATTACCAATACTCACAACTGATAATCCATTTAAACAATGGCAGAGGGATATTTCTAAGTTAATATGGCAAGGGAAAAAACTAAGAATTAGATACAAGCTATTGCAAGATACAAGGAAAGAAGGGTTGGGTTTATCAGATTTAAAATTGTATTTTGATTCATGCTGTCTGACCTGGTTAAAAGAGTGGGTGAACCTCCAGAATAAGAGGTTGCTTGAATTAGAGGGCCATAGATTTGGAGGGCACGGTTATTTATGATATGATAAAGTTAAAGTTAATGTTGATTTTATAATCACTTTGCTAGATTATAGGGGGCGTGCATAAGTGCACCAACGTGCCTACCGTCCCTGTCCTATTGTTTCTTTTATATATATATTTATTTTTCTTATATGTATCCATGTATTCATAACTATGTTTTTACTTATACCTATTATCTTATAAGCAATTGACAAATAAGAAAATAAAAAATAAAAAAAAATAGATGTGTCATACTAAGAGTTTGGAATAACCATAAAACAAGATTCTCTATGAAGTTGACTTTTTGGGGGTTTTTTGGGGAAGCTTTTTTAAAAAAAATAAGTGGTGGTGAAGCCAGACTGGTGGATGTATGGTAAAATCTTATCTTCAACTCTACACTAAAGTCGAGGGAAGAACCTTCACTAAAGTCGAGGGAAGAACTCAAATTAGATGGTTATGTTTGCCATTGGTTTGCATATTAACAACTGAAAGAAAGATTTAAATTAGATAAAAAGAGTTATGGGTTTGATTTAGTTAAAAATGAATTGGAAATCTTACTGTGTGGTAGTAATGAATATATTATTGCTAAGATTCATAAAATGTTACTGAAATTAAATTTGGAAAGTGAACATGTAAAACTTTATATGATTCAGTGGGCAAGGAATTTTGCATATAATGTGAAGTTTAAATAATGGGAAATATGTGAACAAAAGGTTTAAAATGTACACTAAACTATAATTTAAAAGAAAACTTTTATAAGATGATATATTGCTGGTATTTAACACTGGATAAGTTATCTAGGATGTTTAAAGGTATTTTAAATGAATGTTGCAAGTGTAAAATTAAAGAAGGAACTTTTGATAATTCATGTGGACATATGATAAAACAAAGAAATTTTGGAGCTAGTTCAGCTTCTAACTGTAGATTTTGTTGAGTAATATGTACAATTCCTCAAGATGAGGCTGAAACTTCTAAAGCATATTTTAGGAAATATAGATTTATCTTTTACTGGAAGTTCAGTTCATATAAAAGTTCATAAATGTCAACAACGTAATTCAATGAAGATTTATTTGGAAGTAAACCCAACTATAGTCAGTGAGGCTTCCTCCTTGGTAAGTACATATTAGGATTGCAGCATTAATAGTTTAAATAACCTAGTAAACTGTGAGCTGCAGCAATGGCTCAATTATTTGAATTATCTCTGGATAACTATTTCAAACAAATTATTGGAACAACCAGTTTAATTCATGAAAAATTGGTCAAAAAATTATGGGTTTAGTTCAGGGCTGTTTATAATGCAATTCAGGCATCCCTCATTCCAGATTTGGTTTAATAAGAACTGTGTTCAGACTATGATAATTTGAGTTTATAGAAAAGCCAGTTTTATAATGATTTTCTTTTTCATTATTTTTTCTTTTATTGAAGAAGGAATATGAAAAGCTTCCTAGGATATAAAAAGTAAAATGACTCATCAGTGAAATCGACAGTGCTCCAACAAGTAGTAGCAAAAAAGTATGATAATCTCTTCTGCAGGGATGGGATGCTACCGGTTTGGCCCGGTTTTATAGAACCTGTAGCTCTGAAGAACAGCAGACACTGAACCAGTTTGGCGTCTGCTGTTCTGTTTGGCCCAGCCGCCCCACCCAGGCTCTTGGCTGTCCTTTATTTCCTACTTTTTCAACCTCAGCTACTTTGCGTGGCACAGCTGAGGTTGAAAAAGCAGGAAAGAAGAGGAGTTTGAAACGCTGTGCACCGGCACTCAGCGCTTGTCAGCTGTCCAGGTGGCATAGCTGAGGTTTTTGGGAAATGGTCTACACACACGCACAAAAACGCACTCTCACCAGGGGTGGGATTCTACCTGGAGAACCAGCAAATCGCGCCACTGTCTAGCCCCGCCCCATACACTCACTCCTTATCTGGCATGCGCACCATCAAACTTGCCTGCTAAGTTGCTATTTTTCCTCCCCCCCCCAACCATTAGCTGTTCTGCTGTGCTGGGAGATTTAGATTAGCTCGAAAGCAGGAAATCTTTGGGTTTCTTGCTTTCTAGCTAATCTAAAAGCAGAGCTGAACCTTGCTTAGGACTGAAAAAACACCTAGCAGCATGAACGTCTAGAAAAAATATTTTGGCAACTTACTCAGTGTTTCTTCTGGTAGTGATTCTCCTTCCCCTCCATCTTTATTTAATTCCTACCCTAATTGGCTCCCTGTCTCAAAATTAGAAATCAAGGTCTCAGTTGAAAAGCAGCAGACAGCAGGTAAACGTATAAAGTTACCCCAAAAATTTTTTCTACTATAGGGAATGAGATAAATGGATAATTGGAAAAGAATGGACAAAAGATACAAGTATAATGATTTAAATTAAGATGAAATAAATAAAATAGAATTAAGAAGAGTGGAAAGCGGGGAGAAGTTATAATGAACATATAGAATGGTAAATAAGATAGGTAATGGTATATATGATGAGCATAAATTTAATTGAAGTCCATATAAAGAGAGGTAATCCGGGGCCAAGCTACTTTTTAAAAAGAAGTTTTGTCATTTTTTCCAGCCATGTGTGTATTTTAATGCAGTATCTTTTAGCTTCTGCATATATCCATCACATATGGTAATATGATCCAGGTTTCTGATGACATTTCCAACAATTTGCTGATTTATCCTTGAACATCTTTGATAATCTTGCTGGGGGTAAATGCCACCTGTAAAAAACATCTTATACAAATTCTCTTTATATGCTGTTGACATTGTTAGTTTATAGTTTATAGTCCATAATTTCTGCCAT